GGAGGAGTCCGCGGGTGACCACCGGGACGCGGGCCAAGGGGCCCGCAAGGAAGGTGCCGAACGCCGCCCAGGGAGGGCCGGGGACGATGGGCTAGCTCCCAGCACCACCTACCCAGTCTTCAGCCCGCGAGAGCAATAATAATAATAATAATAATAGTAATAATAATAGTAATAATAATAGTAATAATAATAGTAATAATAATAGTAATAATGGCAGTCAACGCGTTAAAGGAGACGTGCCAAGCGCCTTCTCACTTGAGCCGGACACATGCCCTCTGCATCCTCCCTGGGTTTCATACAGATGAAGAAGCCAACTTGCTTTAAATGATTGCCCTCAGCTAGTCAATGGCAGTGTTACTCCCTTGCCCAAACCCTTACCCAACACATATTCTCCTCCCTCCCAAGTTTGGTTTTGAATGCCTCCTTTTATCGCTATCACCCTGTAAGATGAAAGGCTGTCTCCCCTTCTAGACAGTGAGCGGACATCAGGGCATCCCATTCTGATAGAATCTGAACGTCCTCTCCGGGAATGGGCTGGTTTGACCCTAGTGAAAATTTTCACTGATTACTAGATAAACTAGTTAATTTGTGTTTCTTTTTTTTTTTTTTCAACCCAATCAACAAATGCTTCTTGAGCACCAGCTTTCCAGACAAACACCATAGAAGGAGCTATAGGAAGTTAATATTGCTCACTGGACAGTCCCAGGCTTCCCAATCACTCACGTTGCAGTTGTCAGCGTCCCAGCTTTGTGGTCTTTGGCCTAGAGCTGATGTCACTAGCCTCTTCATCTTTAAACAGGGACAATTATACCAAGATACACAGAAATAACTGTAATTAAAGTTTCTGGCATATATGGGGCCTTTATAATCAGTTAATCATACATTGAGCACCTATTCCTTATTCCACAAACATGGATCCAGTGCCTCCTTTGGGAGTACCAGTGAGGAATCAGTGCGGATAAGAGTCTCCCCACATACAGGGATCCACAGAACGCAGACAATGACAGCCAGCAGCCCTTATAACACCTACATTTCAATTGGCCAATTTATATTGCTGTTTTAAAAGAAAGTGTATTTGAATATGCTTAGGTCCTTTATACCAAAGGAATTCTCACCATTTTTATTTTCATGAGGTTTTTTTTTTTAGAGATTTTTTTTAAAACACAAAAGAACAGAGAACATTATAACAAATATCCACTATTACCACCAAAAACTGAAAATGATTAACATTTTGTCATATTTACATGCAGTCTTTTCTTTTTTGGATAAGGACATCACATTTCACTTAAAGTCAATGTTCCTTTCTCACCCCCCTTCCTGATCCCATTCTCTTTCTATCTTTTCCAGATTTTTCTATAGTTTCTTCCAATTCCTTCTCTACACGTGTGTCCTTAAACAATGCATAGCATTGGTTTGCATGTTTTAAATTTATATAAATGAAACCCTATGCTTTTTATGAAACTTGATTTTTTTCAACTCCATATGTATTTCTGAGAATAATCCATACTGATTGAGATAGCCCTTGGTGCATTCCTTTCAAAGACAGAAGAGTAATTCATGATTATATATAACCATCCCCCTCTGTGTAGATATTTATGTGTTTAACAGATTTTGGCCGTTACAAACAATGCAAAACCAAATATCTTTGTACAATTTCTAAGCCCGCCCGTACATTTTCTATGGACAACCAAATTAGAAGTGAAATTTACAAAGTATTTACGTGTGTGTCAAAAATTGGACATTTTTTGACATTTGGACATTTTTGATGGTTTCAAACCAAAAGTAGACAATTATTAATCAGGTGGAAATAGGGGAAATTTTTTTTGTACATTTCCTGAACTTTATAAACTGGATCTCTTTTATTTTGCAGAAATTAATGATCCTAAGGAAATATGCATGGGTGTTTCTGACATTGCCTACCAAAACCAGCAGAAACAGAGTGGTGATAGTGCATCAGACAGTCAATTAACACACCCAAGAGAGGACAGGGATGATCGGGGCCCCAGGTATGGGCAAGCTGCCAGTTAGTGCACTTCTGCCAAGTAGAGTGCATGGTGTGATCGATCACCCTTTATATGGGAAGTGGAGGCTCATGGAGACTGAATAGGCCACCTGATGCCTGAAAATTATAAGCAGCTGACTCAGGCTGGCACTACTTCTGTGGCACAACTAATAGCCCATGCTATTAAACTTTAATGTCAGACCTCGAGAGAGAACATCTGTGGGTCTTGATGACACTGTTAAAAGTATTTTTATTAGTACATGCATTGCAGTATTTAAGAATGCTGAAAGTAAACAATATTGGATGAGTCCCTGATTCTAGACCAAAAAGATGGGGAGGAAGCAAGGTGAGGCAGGGGGAAGAGGAGGAGGAAGAGGACTTAAAATAAGTATCAGGCATACAGGACTTAGAATTATAGGCTGGATTAGTAAAGAACTTTTGGAATAAATTATAGCTGATAAATTGAAATTTCTTGTCCACCTTTTTCATTTTAACAGAATGACTAAACATTTCCTGCAGAAACTCTGCAAGCAACACAAGCTTTACATCACCCCAGAGTTGAATGATACTCTGTATTTGCACTTCAAAGGTAAGGCTTGCAAGGAGACACTTAACCTTTGGCAAAAACGTATCAACAGTTAGTTGCAAAAGGATCAACACAGTGCTCAGACTTGAGTAGGAATCTCTTGAGTTTAGTGGAGATTTATGTGAAAACAAGCTGAAGTCTTCACCAGTGAGAATTTATAAAGGGGACACTGATGAACACAATATATGTTTTGAAAACAGAAAGCCAGTTGGTAAATACCTGGGCTTGGGAAGGGTACCTTGGGAAGGACTGAAGATGGATGCAGAAAACAAAGGAAGAGGATCTTTGGCTGCCTCTCAGAAGGAAAAGGTATGAACAGAGCCTCCCTAGGTCTCGGGCTTGGTGTCCAGAATCACATCTAAATCTGAATTCAGGTCCCCAGGCAGGGCTCTTCCTAGCAGTAGAAAGAGAAAACAGGGCTTCCAGTGAGTGCTGAGTTTGGGGTGGCACCTGCTGCAGCGTCAGGGATCTGTTCATCTCATTGGGTAACTATTCACTGAGTGTCTTCTGCCTTCTGCGGCCCATGTTCAGTGCTGGGGATACAGAAATAGGTGTGGCAAAGATGGTTCAGGCATCCAGGGGGGTGGAGAGGCCACTGGGAAGAAGGTGCCATGCCAGGAAGGCACACAGTGGCCCAAGCAGCACAAATGCCGTGGTTGCTGGATTGATTGACTCCTAACTGGTCACCTCGCCTCCACTTTTGCCCCTGCCTCCCAAATTCTCCAGCCAGCATCTAAGTGCAGCAGTGGAGGAGATGATGTGGGAGGCCAGGTCCCAGGGGACTGATACTGAGAGATGGGAAGAAGATCAGTACTTTAGGTCAATTAGAAAGAATCAGAGAGACAGCAGAACTGGCAGAGAGAGGAGCCTACACTAGTTGCCTACCATTGCGTGACAAATCACTCTGACACTTAGCAAATCTGAAAACAAATTCATGGGCTAGGGATACGCCCTGTGGTACAGTGCTCACCTAGCATGTGTGAGCCCCCAGGTTCAAAACTCAGCACTGCAAAAAAAATACATACATACAAAAATCAAATTGCCATCTCACACTATTTCTGAAGCCAGAAGCCAAGGAATGAATAGTTAGTGGTTCTGCTCAGGGTCACCCAGGAAGGCTGTGGCAGAGCTGGTAGCCAGGCCTCAACTGTCTGGGGATGCAGAATGCACATCCTGGCTGTGAGCCTCAGGCCTTCCCTAGCTTTGGGGGAGACCTCAATTACTCACTCCAGGGCCTCTGGACAGAAGCTGGCTTCCCCCAAAGCTGGGTATCCAAGAGAGCACAAGGCCAGGATGTAAGCCCCAGGTCTGGAAGTGCCACCTCATCTGCTCTCAACCCTGCTCTGACTGCACCATAACACACAGGAGTGAAGGCCAGGAGGTGGTGATCCATGGCCATGGCATGCGGAGTAGTCCAGAGGCCTCGGAAAAAGCTGCAAAATGGCAGGCAGGGCCACCAGCTCAGACCTCAGACTGGTCAGGACTAAGAGGACTGACAATGGGACTGAGCAATCAGGATGTCACTGGGACCGTGGCAGCTGGTGGTACAGATGGCAGACAGAGGGAACAGGAATGAACTGGAGACTGACCTGAAGCACAAGGAAGTCTTTCCCGTGATGGGGCGGGGGATCGGGGTTAGAGCCGGAGAGTGGGCAAGAGAGATGTGGCTCATAAAACCACTGATGGCCTAGCTCTGGCTGAATGGCCCGCCCAGAGCTCTTCTCTGCAGGGGGTCTCTCGTCCTTCCTTGGCCCATCTTCCTCGGTGCTAGTCCATTTTCAGGGCAGGTTCACCTCTGACCCTGGGCACTGCAGCCGCGAGGGGAAGATGGTTGCTGCGTCCCCGGCTCCACCAGCACTAGGCTCTCCCCACAGGCTGGCAGTTCTGTCCAGTGAAGCCAAAAACCTCCCCAGACTCATCAGGGGTAGTCCCACTTGGCTAAGTGTGGCCAGCTCCAAATGAATCACTGTGACTGACCAGCCACCTAGGGAGCCTTCGGGGCAACAGGAGGAAGAGGGTAGATGTCCTGGCTGCCATGGAGGCTGAAAGTCCAAGGTCAAGGCTCTGCCAAATTTGAGGTCTTCCGTTGAGGGCTGCTTTCTGGCTCATACACGGTGCCTCTGTGTCCTCACATAGTGGAAAGGGTGAGGAAGTTCCGTGGGGCCTCTGTGATAATGACACTGATCCCATTCCTGAGGGCTCCACCCCCACGACTAATCCCCCCCAGAGGCCCCCCTCCCAACACCATGGCCCTGGAGGTCGGGGTCTCAGCATAGGACTTTTTTTTCCATTTCTTTCCTTTTTGGGGCGGGGGGATTGAACCCAGGGGCAGTTAGCCACCGAGTCACATTTTCAGTCCTTTTTAATTTTTAATTTTGAGACAGGGCCTCACTAAGTTGCTTAGGCTCTCTCTAAGTTGCTAAGGCTGGTTTAGAACTTGCAATCCTCCTGCCTCAGCCTCCCACGTCACTGGGATTACAGGCATGTGCCATTGCGCCCAATGATTTTTGAGGGGGCACTAACATTCAGTCCATAATAGTAGGCAAAAACCAGGGTACGTTAACCTTGGCCCCTGTGTATGTAGGAGTGTACTGGACACCCCGTCCCCCTCGCCAGGTTTTGACCGCATCGAGAACCTGCAGGAGTACACGGGCCTGCGCTGTCTCTGGCTGGAGTGCAATGGGATACAGAAGATCGAGAACCTGGAGGCGCAAACAGAACTGCGTTGCCTCTTCTTGCAAGTGAACCTACTTCATAAGATTGAGAACCTGGAGCCTCTGCAGAAACTGGATGCTCTTAACCTGAGCAACAATTACATCAAGACCATCGAGAACCTCTGTAAGCATCAGCCAGCGGCCTTCTGGTCACGTGTCCTCCACTGTCCCCTGGGGAGCTCTGACTCTGTCATGGAGGGGAGGGTTTGGAGCCTCTTGTTCACTCGCACGGCCTCCCTTGCAGCCTGCCTCCCCGTGCTGAACACACTGCAGATGGCCCACAACCACCTGGAGACCGTGGAGGACATTCAGCACCTGAGGGACTGCGCAAAGCTTTGCGTCCTTGACCTTTCCCATAACAGACTGAGGGACCCGGAGATCCTGGGCATCCTGGAGAGCATGCCTGACCTGGTGAGAACCAGAGGAAGCACAGTTAAGGCAACTTGTGTCAGTTTATGTTCTTTAAATAGTAAATCCTATGTCTTCCCCCCACCCTTTTCCCCTCTCCCTTCCTCTGTCTCCCTCCCCCTCCCTCCCTCTGGCCCTCCCCCTTCCTCCCTCCCTCCCTCCCTCCTTCATTCTTTGTTCGTCCACACTTCTTCCTCTTTGTGTTTTTAGCTAGAATATCTAATGCCAGATGACGATTACTATTTACCATGACATTTTAGTGTGTACCTCTGACAGGGACTTGTAAACAGTACAATCATAACACTACTACTGTATTTAAAATATCATAACCGCTACCTTAGAACCCAGTCCGTGTTCAGTATTCCCCATTTGTCTCAGAAACATGCTCCTATGGCTGGGTCCAAGCCAGACTCAGACGCGCTCTCGGGTTCTTGGTTGGTCTCTTGGGCTCTGTGACAGTTCTCCTCCCGTTTCCACCCTCCCATCCATTGGCCAGAGCAATGGTGCTCTTTGCCTGGCAGTCTCCCTGTTCTGGGGTGGCTGGCGGCACCTCATGGTGTCATTGAATCCGCTCTACTGTCCCCGGTAGTCCCTGTGGAATGAAGATGCAGTCACAGACTCCATGAGTCCAGGCTCCGTATCTTCCTTTCAGTGAGCCCTGTCCTCGTACCGCCTGGCTCCAGGCCCCAGGCCTTCTTGCCTCTCTTCTCCTAAATGCAGGATCGGGCACTGGGAGGCTGTCAGCCACTCCAGCCACTGTGACGCTCAACGTCAGTCTCTCTCTCTGCTGTTCTGGCAGCCATTGAGGAGCATTGCCTGGGTGAGCGTGTCACTGGGAGTCACACAGTAGCCATTTCTAATTCTCTTATTCCTTCTGGGTCGCTCAGGTGGGATGCGTCTACAGAGTCCTTTCACACCCCCGTAGTGGGCCATACATACAGAATCGGTCAGGATGAATGTTTGCATCTTTCCTGTTCGTGATAATTTTCGGCAATATCAGCCGAGACCCTAGCAGTCTCTCACGGTGACACTGAAAGCTTTTCCTTCTTCAGCTCGTGGATTTGCATGTGTAGCATTTGGTATGATTTCACCTTTCCTATCCTTTCAATGTTGGTGTCCGAGTTTCCCAGCCTTCAGCCTTAGAATCTCTCCAGTGGGTTCCTGTGTCCTTTCCACTTGGCTCTAGCCACCCTGGACAGCTATCCTAGTGTCAGGGGCACCTGTGTTAAACTTGAACACTCGCAGGAAAAACCCTGGAGTCCGTTCTTGACTGCTTAGGGCAAGGAGAAGTAGTGGAGAGGGAGTCACTGTAAAAGAAAGTGTAAGCAAATCCTACCTAGTTCAGGGGCCATCCGCAGAGTGGACTGTCAGGAAAGATTAGTTTTAAACGGCCTGCGAATGGTGAGAATATGAAGCTATATTATTTTCCCTCTCAGTCTGTGTCAGAGTTTGGATCTTGAATGTCCCCAAAGGACCAAGTGTTGAAGAGCTGGCACTATCAGGAGACTTGGCACCTTTAGGAGTGGGGCCTAGTGAGAGGAAATTAGGTCATGGAGTGGGGCATGTCTTTGAAGGAGACATGGGACCTGGCCCTCCCCTCTTTGCATTCTGGAGCTGGCCATTCATTCCGTGCTGTGAGCAGCTCCACCACCCTGTGCTCCCTCCCTGATGCACGGTGCTGCCACAGGCCCAAAGTACAGGGCCACACAACTCAGCCTGAACCCTCTGAAACTGAGCCCAAGTGAACGTTCCTCTTCTAAGTCGTTTATCTCAGGTGTTTTGTCCCAGAGGCAGAAAGCTGACTAACTCAGGCTGCCATGATGAAGTACAGACTGGGGGTCTCACACAACAGAAATTTATTTTCTCACAATCCTAAAGACTGAAAATCCAAGACAAAGCGTTGCCTTCATTCTGAGGCCTGTCCTCGGCTTGCAGATGGAGGCCTCTGCCCTGTGTCCCTCTGCTGTATGCTGTCTGCATCTGGGTCTCTCCTCCCAAGGATGCCAGTTGGGTTGGGTTAGGGCCCATCCTAACAGCCTCCTTCTAACTTACTGCATCTTTAAAAATCCTGTCTCCAAATGCTGTCACATGCTGAGGCACAGGGGTTAGGACTCCACCGGGTTTCTTTGAGGGGAGGAACACAATTCACCCATAACAAAAGCAGTCACCTTATAGTTGTTTGTACTTGCTTTAAGTCCCACCCCACTATGCTCCTGTTTATTGCCTGTCCCTGGCTACTTCTCCTGTCACTGTGCCCTGTGGAGGGTAAGTCCTCGACAAGGTCGTGAAGAGGCTCGGGAATAGTTTGGGAAAAGCTGAACTAACTGGTTTATAACATATTTATCTTCAGTGACACAAACACTCTAGATATGAAAGAGGTGAATGAGTTTAGGCAAACAGATGTCGAAGTGGTTCACCGCGGGTCACCTTCACATTCACCTTCCTGAGCAGCTCGGGCAGGAGGGAGGTGAGAGGGTTAGAAGACAGGGCAGGACGCCCACTGGCCTGGCTGGACCTTCCCCTTTCCTCTGCAAGTCTGCAGGAGAGGGTCTCGTGGTGGCAGTCTGCAGTGGGCCAGGGCAGCGTCCACCCTCCCCATCATTGCCTCTTGTCTGGCTGCTGTGACCTGCAGGTCCTGGCCAGGAAGGGAAAGAATCAATCATTCCGAAATGCGCTTCAGTCAGAAATTGGGTAGAAAAACTGATGTCATCGCCACACTTGGAAAGGGCCACAGGAAGTGTTTTCCCTGGAAGGACGGCAAGGTCTGAGCTCTGGAGTTAGAAGTATGGGCTGGTTGACCAGTGTAGTGGCCACACCTGTAATCCCAGAGCTTGGGAGGCTGAGACAGGAGGATTGCAAGTTCAAAGCCAGACTCGGCAAAAAAGCAAGGTGCTAAGCAACTCAGTGAGACCCTGTCCCTAAATAAAATATAAAATAGGCCTGGGGTGTGGTTCAGTGGTCCAGTGCCCCTTAGTTCAATCCCAGGGACCTGCTGCTTAGTTACCTGAACATATCTGATGAGAAAAAGCAATAAAACCTTCCAGTGTCACCAATCAGTGCCCCAGGGTGTGGGCTGACACTTCTCTTTTGCTCAACAAAATAGATTGAACTGAGTTATTCTTAATGCACAGCCCATATAAAGTAATCAGATCTTTGTAAACCATCCAGTTTGATTTGGCTTGTTTGCTTTGCAGCGTGTGCTGAATTTGATGGGAAACCCAGTTATCAAGCACATTCCTAATTATCGAAAGACAGTCACTGTTCGCCTGAAGCACCTGACCTACCTGGATGACAGACCAGTTTTTCCAAAGGACAGGTAAGAAGAGAGAAGCCTTTGGGAGCCTTGAAATATTTCATTGTTGATTGTACCAAGTATTAGGCTTTTAAAATCTCCCGCATCACGTTTCCATGCGTTTTCACACATCACTGAATACTCTTCAGATAGGGTTAAAGGCGATATAACTGCCCGCAAGGGGAATCTGAGCACTTATTCGTAGGTTCTTATGTTCCTTTGATAAATATCCCTGCAGACCAGTTGTCTGCCTCATTGCTTGGACTTCTTGGTTTTCGTTTGGATGGAATTTTAGTAATATCACTAAAATAAAAAAAAAATCTTTAAGAATGTTTTTGGCAGTGCTGGGATGGAATCCAGCTAGGCGAGCCCCACTTGAGAGACAGCCAGCCCGATCCCTGAATTAAAACTTTTTGTGTTTTTTTAATTAAAAATTAAAATTTCTGACACTTGAAAAGCTCTTGCAAAATAGTTTGTTTTCCAGGAAGTTGGTACCAGTTACAACCTCCCACACAAGGGTGCCCTCTTGTGTCGCACACTCTGGGCTTAGATGAATGCGCCAGGTCATGCGTCCCCGTCGTCATTGTGGTATGCCTAACCCCCGTACCTGCTCCTCCTGCTGCCGCTCCACTCCCACACTGTCCTGGTTTGCCTCCTCTGGATGCCGTGGAGGTGGAGCTGCTCAGCTCGTAGCTTTGGGGACTGACGGGGGCGGGGGTGTAGCACTGGGCACTGAACCCAGGGATGCTCTACTGCTGAGCTACACCCCAGCCTTTTTTACTTTTTATTTTGAGAAAGGATCTCAAAAAGTTGCTGAGACTCAAATCTTGTGATCCCCCTGCCTCAGCTTCCCAAGTGTTTGGGATCCCAGGTGCATGTCACTCCACCCAGCTCACTAGCAATGGATGTAAACTGCTCGCGTGACTTTTTGTGTTTTTTTTTTTTTTGTACTGGGGACTGAACTCAGGGGCACTTGACCACTGAGCCACATCCCCAGCCCTTCTCTGTATTTTATTTAGAGACAGGGTCTCTCTGAGTTGCTTAGTGCCTCCCTTTTTGCTGAGGCTGGCTTTGAACTCAGGATCCTTCTGCCTCAGTCTTCTGAGCCGCTGCGATTTCAGGCCTGCAATGTGTCTTGATGACTTATTTCTTTTTATCTTTGAGTAACATTTCATTGTCCAGATGTACCAGAACTTGTATATTCACATATTAAAGGATATCTAGGCTGCTTCAAATTTTTGCAACTAGAATAAAACTGCCATAAACATTCGTATGCGAGCTTTCGTAGGGATGTGACCTTCGACGCGGTTGTCTTCTGTGCCCTTCGTTTTCATTTTGAAGAAGATGAGCAGGTTGGGTCAGACAGTATGTGTTGGAATTTACCTTCAGCCTCCCTTTTCTGTCCCGCTGCTGTCCTGGCTCAGGGCCTGTGCGGAGGCCTGGGCCCGGGGAGGGTACGCGGCCGAGAAGGAGGAGAGGCAGCTGTGGGAGAGCAGGGAGCGGAAGAAGATCGAGGACAGCCTGGAGGCCTTGGCCATGATCAAGCGGCGGGCTGAGGAGAGGAGGAGAGAGAAAGAAGGTCAGGAGAGAGCTGGGGTTCCAGGGAGGATGCTGTCGGACGGGGCACATGGGGGCGTCCCACTGAGACCTCAGTCTCGGGGACTTTGCAGCCGTCATTCGTGTGCAGTGAGAAGGCCACAGCCGCGTGGTTTCAAACCACTTTTGTTGATTAAAACACAACTTCTTAAACAATCTCAGTTTTTCAAAATAAATGATTAGTCTTCTTTGGCTACTGTGGAGTGGGAGAGGGGACAGGGACTGGACATGCCATGGGAACACCTGCAAGTCTGGCTAGAAAGGAGCAGGTCTCCCCAGACCCACCAGCCCCTGACACCAGGGCTCTGTCCACTCATCCAGTCCCCTCACTGAACTGGAGCTAGGACAGGCTCTGGGGCACTGTTCCTACACGACTGACTTCAGGTGACAATGCCACTGCAGGTGACAGTCACGGTCCCAGGTTTGTCACCTGCACTTCTGACCAACCAGCTATGACATGGGGTTCCCCAGCCCCCCATCTCTGGCTCAGTGACTTGCTGGGGTGCTCCCAGACCCAGAGACCCTTCTCACCTTCCAGGGCTTTGCTCGAGAGGCTGATGACAGGGCATAGGTGAGCCAGGGGGTGGAGATGCACAGGGCAGCGGACCACCCTCCTGACACCATGTCCCAGAGACCCAGGAGCTGTCTGAACCCCACAGCTCGGGGACTACCAGAGGCCTCGCCACACGGGCACGATCTAACTGCACTTCCAGGCTGTCTCCTCTAGAGCAGGGGTGGGTGGGGCTGAACTGTCCACGCTTGTCGGGGTAGCTTGGTCTTTCTGGTGACCAGCCCTCATCTGGGAAGCCACAAGAGTTGCTTTGTCTGACAAAAGACCTCTTATCGAAGTCACAAGGTCTTGGAAGCTCTGGGTCAGGATCTAGGGTCAAAGACTACACATAAGAACCAAAGTTTCTCCTAGCAGCCTACGGACAAGGGCCGAATGTGTGCCTTTCTGATGAGTTCAAAGGTGCCACCACACCGCAGCACAAAATCAGTGGCCAGCACAAAGTGTCCTTATTAGGGTTCAAGTCAGAAGTCTGAGTGGGCTGAAATCAGGGGCCTCAGGATGACCGTCCCTCTGCAGGCTCCAGTTCTAGCATCAGAGCCTAGAACCACTGTTTCTGTCTACCACAAACCCGTAGCACAAAACAAACGTTAATTCCACCTGCATTCACCTCGGAGCAAGCAGCGCGGCCTTGCAAAGGCACCGGCTTGGCCCCCCGGGTGCACGCAGGCTCTCAGGGCACTAGAATCAGAGTCAGAAGATCTTGATTTTTTTTTTTTAATTGTTGAAGTGGCCTTTAGGGTAGATGCCACACCTCAAGCCATTGTGGTTCTTTTGTTGTTGTACATGGACACAATATCTTTTATTTATTTACTTACTTTTATGTGGTACTGAGGATCAAACCCAGGGCCTGACACGTGCTAGGCGAGCGCTCTGCCACGGAGCCCCAACCCCAGCCCCCCCACTGGTAATTCTTAAGAGCACCCACTCCTCCCCGCTGCTCCTGCTCCAGAGCCCCCAGACTCCTTTGTCCTCCAGGCACATCTAAGTCTACCTCTTCCTTCCCCATTTAGGGGAGAAGCCATCTCTAGACAGTGGGGACAGAAAGGAGGAGGCTCCACTGGACGGAGAAACACAACAGAAAATGGAGTTATTTGTGAAAGAAAGCTTCGAGGCCAAGGATGAGCTGTTCCCGGAGAAGCCGAGTGGAGGAGAGGGGTGGCCTGCAGAGGGGACGGAAGCCAAGGAGCCAATGGGGAGCCTTCCCGCGCAGGCCCCAGCACCCCCAGAAGCAGCCAGGGGAGGTAAGGCGCTGCGGCCTCTGCCCTGCTGGGCATGGCCGCCTGCTGCTTCTAGAAGGCCGGGTTGCAGTGGCCTCTTCTCTAGAGGAGCAGCACTGGGTGGAAATGCAGCAGCCATCACAAAGGAGGCACATGACAAACGCAAAAGGCAACAGGTGACACCGTTCACCACAGGTGACACTATTCCCAATGCTTCATTCAACCCAGCATGTCTGGAAATGCACATAAGGCTCTCCATGAGATGTTGTACACAGCTTTGTGGACAAGGTCATCAAATCCAGTGTGTGGGTGCCACTGCACGCCTCGACGGGGGTGCTGAGTTTTCAGTGGCCGAAGGGAAACGGGTCCTACCAGAACAACACAGCATTTTATCCTACTTCCCCTTTAATTTTTCAATTAAAGTTAATTAAAAGTAAAGCAGTAAAATAAAATGAAAAACCCACCCTGGCCACGTTCTGAGTACTCATAGCCATCTGTGCTGTGGCCAGGGACAGTCCCACCCAGACTTCCCCATGCCCCCCTGGATGAGCCACCCTGGCACACTCCCAGTCTCTAGGGTGGGGAGATGGGCAGTGGCCTCTCTAAAAATGTTTTGTAGTTTGTCAATAGATCTTTTATTTATTTATTTGTTTGTTTATTTATATGTGATGTCGAGGATCGAATCCAGGGCCTCACACAGGCTAGACGAGTGCTCTGCCACCGAGCCCCCCACCACCCCGTCTCCCTACTGTGTACCCGCCCAGCTGCCTTTCCAGTCTCTGTTCCTTCTACATCACGTCCCAGCTGGTCCTTGCCCCCAAGGGGCAGCAGCATGCTGTCCTCTCTCAGCTAGAGGACATAACCCTGGCCGTGGCTGTGGATTCTGTGGCTTTGGTCACAGGTGCTGGCCCCTTGCACCCAAGGAGGGTTTTTGTCCTTCTACCTTCACCTGGGGTTGGCCGTCTGACCACTGGGTATGAACCAAGCCACGGCTAATGGCTGCCCCCTCGTTCCCCAGAGTCAGCCTCCCAGGTGGCAGAGACTGCAGGTGTGTTGGTGACGGAACTCAGTGGGCCTGGAACTGAAGCTTCAGCCACCACGAAGCCAGAGGCCCAGGAGAAGTTCTTCATGGATGTACGTGGAGCACTTCGCCGTGGGCAGTGGGGGCGCACAGTTGGTAAAGCGGGGTGAAGCCCAGCTCGTGGGCCTTGTGACTTAGCATGGTCCTTGGTAGCAGGTGTAGCACATCCAGAAACTCAGAAGGGGCCCCCCAGAACTGCCGCCCAACAAGGCCTTTAGAATGACTGCCACCAGGAGACGCACACCCAGGCACTCAGGCTGGGGCCACGCTGGCCCCTCGGCCCCTTGAATTGTAGCTGTCAAACTCCACCAAAGGGGTCCCACTGCAGAGCGGCACTGTCCAGCCAGCCTGGGAATTCCACTCTGACCGCTGGGGCCCTCAGTCCTCCAGTCCGTGCCCAGGGAGCCCCTCCTGCTCTCACTGGCTCTTCTCTGCACCTGTTACCTGCTGGCTCATCACTGTCCTCTTGGGCTAGATGGCTGCCTGGCATGTCCCACCAGAAGCTCCTCCCATGTGGGTGACGTGAAAGGGGACCCCGGGGGCGCACACTGCCACATGACCAAGAACTAAGGTGGAAGAGCTGGGGTGGTGTCAGCCCAGCCGTGGACATCAGTGCCACAACTCTCCCAAGACCCCGCCTTTGCCCCCCTGCCCACTCCCTTGTTAAACTCCCAATGGGTGCTCCTTTTCTTGTGCCCAAATTTCAAAATTTCACGACTCTAATTATTAAACTAATCATAGTCAATATTCTCAGTGAGCTTCTGAGTTTTCCAGACCTATATACATAATAAGAAAAAAATTAGCCAATTTCTAATATTTGAGAGCTGACAGTATACAGAACTTCAACATCAATAGCCGGTATTTATGGAGCTCTTACTCTATGCATGGCATGGGTCAAAGCATGATCTGTATTAATCGATTTAATATTTCCAATATCATCATCCCAAATTTACAGATGAGGAAATTGAGAAATGAGAGGTTAAGCCACTTTCCCAAAGCCACACAGCTAGGAAATGTGGCGTGGGAACACTGACCCAGGCAGTATGTTCTCGAGTTCCTGCGTGGTCCCACACACTCTGCCCCCTCCCCCGCACACAGGTGGGTGCTGTGATGAAGATACACACAGACACATGCACTCTCACCAGTTTAAGGGAGGGACTTGCGTGCCACACAGGGCCCAAGGACTAATTTCTACAGAGGTACTTTCGACTTGGGTTCCATTGTTTCCCGAGAAGGTGGGGACATTCTTTAAATGTCCGTTTAAGTGGCCATGTGCAAAGTCGGCTTTTGTGATGAGACCTGGGCACCTGGCCTTGGCTTTGAGAGCGGCTGGGCAACCTCCCATTCCGTCACTTGCACTCTGTCTGCATCTGTCTTGCCTTTGGGATCTGGGAGCGTGGGCCTCCCTGGTGATGTGCAGCTCTTGGCTCTTTCAGGACCTGCCGGACCTGGAAGACGTGGAGGACACAGGCGCATCTCTGGAAGTCCAGGACAAGGTTGTCAGTACACACTTCTCCAGTCAGAAAGTCCCGTGTTTGTGCCTGCCATTGACACAGCACGTGTCTGTCCCCTGAAAGCCAGGTGTGCTTGTGCTGAAGCACTGGGCACCCAGGTGGCCTCCTTGCTGAAGGAGGCGCAGCTAGTGGTGGGTGGTTCCTGCTCGGTTTCCTTTGAGGATTAATCACCAGCCGAGGGGCTTTCCTGCCCGTGTTTTATTGCTCATGGGGGTAACCACACTGATGTAATTACCCGGAGCATTTTTCTGTCCGTGGTGCATTTCCACCAACTGACCCTGCCCTCCTCCCTCGGGCACCCGGAGCTCAAGGGTGCCAGACCTGGGCTACAAGGGAGGGAGGCATCAGAGGTCATCAAAGGTAACGGGCACGTGAGACTGCGGTTACCACAGGGTACTGATGTCCAGGAGTGAAGTCCCAGAGAGTGGTGGACAAGGTTGGCACAGGAAGACACCAGGCAGGGCCAGCATGAGGCTGTCATTTAGGGGCCGTCTGGTGGGGGTGCAGTGTGGAGACCAGGCAGAGGGCTGGACAGGAGCGGGCACTGGCCGTGGTACTCAGCAGGAGCTGCTGACCCCAGAGGGTCCACTTGAGGCTCCAGTGTTCTTGTGGGTCTTCCTGCACCATGGTGACCACTGCTGCCACTTGTCTGTGGAGTGACTAGTGCAGAGTACGTGTTCAGACACCCTTCTCTCAACAGGAAAGGTGCTCTCCAAAGATTGAGGCCATCTCGAGCTTGAGTGACAACGGTGACCCTGACCTGGACAATGTGTCTCCAGAGCTGGAGAGCAGGCCCACAGACACCCAGCCACACATATTCGCAGTCTCTAGAGGTACCTCGAAGGAGGCCGAGACCCCTTTTGCAAACATACTTAAGAAAGAAACTATAAAGGCCTTGGGAACCCCCAGTCAAGTCCCCGAGTCCCCAAGGGTGCTTATTCAGGAGATTAGTGGCCATGAGACCTCGAGCCAACTCCTTGTGCCCTCCTGCTGGAGCGACGCTGCTTCTGTTCCTTCCAGCGAGAGTGGAGACAGACACCTCCCTGCAGCCCCTCCACCAGGTAAGGCCACTGTGTTGCAGTCCACGGCGCTGCTGGGCATGCTGAGCCGTGAAGGCTGGGTGGGCCCAGGGAGCTCGCCCTGGGAATCCTAGGTTCCTGGGAAGGGCCGCAAGGACACACCAGGAAACCTCTGCAGATCACATCTCCAAGTCTGTGACTGAAGCTCTGCTGTGGGCATCACCTGGATAAGCCCCCAATGTACCATTCTTGGGCGGTGACCTGCGTATCACTTTATCACCAGGCATGCAGTCCCTAGTGGGGGTTTCGCAGGGCTGGGGGGCCAAGGAGCCTGCACCTCCATACTCTCTCATCACCCCACCCTTCCTGGTCCTTCCAGACCACGGCTTCTGGAGGGGCTGTGGAGGCTGGGCAGCGCTAGGCTGGCACGAAGGTGTGCCTGCTCCCACTGCACACGGGTGACAGGTCCCATGCCTGCTGCCCTGCTCAGGAGATGGAGGTGGGAGGGGACAGTGCCGGGCAGCCTGGCCTGCAGGCAGGAAGGAGAGGCAGGCTCCATTCCAATCCCCACTGGCCTCTCTCTTCAGCAGACTGGACTGGAAAGAATGAAGAGCAGAACAAGGAGTCCGGTGGGGGGACAGGCCGGGAGGACATTGAATTTGGCTTGGACTGAATCCAAGATGGCCCCTGTACCATCAGACTCATGGGGTCAGGAAGCAGGCGTGGTCACCCCCTCTACCCAAGTACTGCTGCTGCAGCCTGCCGAGATGGGGGCTCCTGTCCTTTGCACCACGCCATGCGTCAACTCCCCGTTACCTGTAGTATACACTGTAATTGCAAACGTCTATTAGCATAATAAATGTTTTAGCAGCCATATTCCTGCAAGTTACAGGCAATTCCCTCTGGTCCATCAGATACTGAGAAAGACCCTCCAAGTGTGATCCGCAGCAGGGCCACAGCCCGGTGCCTGCCCTCTCCAATGGGCATTCCCACAGCACAGGGAGCCACCCACAGGAGCACCGGCCAGCACAAGTGTTCAGCCGAAAGCACCTCCCTGGGAAGCTGCTCACAAACCGAGCCACCCGGCAGCAGGCTCACAGCTCCTGGGCCTCGCCCTACTCCCACCCAACAAGGGGAACATGGCTGCTGCCATTTCCATGGAGTGGGGAACAAGGGGGGTGGGAGAGCCCAGCCTCCAACAGAGTCGGCCCCTGCCCCACTGTGCTCCCTCTCCCTCTGGCCTCCAGGAAGATCTGTAGGCCACTCTGTTGCCTACTCCTTTGACGTGGGCCTACTTCACTGCTGGGCCTCCCACGGCCGGCCACAAGGGCCTTCAGGAGTTGGAAAGCTCTGGCCCTGGGGAGGCCCACCTCCTGCCGTCCTGGGGAGGCCCTGCTGACCTGGGC